CCCCAAAACCCCAAAACCCCAAAACCCCTTTATTCCGAAATTAAATTAATTTTGAGATTTATGAAATTAAGATTCAAATAATCAAAGAATTTTCATCGAATTCATTAAAGTTGTAGAATTTTAATTCTTCTTGATTTTTATCCAAATCTTAGCCCCCTAGCACATCTTCTTTATCAATTGGTAGAAACTCATAGAGAAACATTTGATCTGGTGATTTATTTTTGAACGTATTCTTTATTTAAAGATCAGAGTCAAGTTTAGAGTAGGGGAATAAATTCAAAAAGTCTGATATCTTAACTTTTCTATTAAAGTTCTTGGTTCTGATGAACTCATGGAAGAAGAAACTGAATTTATCACTTATGTAAGTATTAAGACTGCTATCTATCAAATGAGAATAGGCATGCTAGCCAAGTACTGAAGTTCCGACCATCATAATATTAGGGGCATTAACTCTATCAAAAAGAGTCATTGCCTCACAGGTATCAAGTAATAGTAGAATCTCACTATATTTGTTTTTAATATCCATTTCATTGAAAACCTTTCCAAAATCTTCGCTATGGACTACCTCAGTATCTTAAATCTTGAAGAAGTTTTCACCTCCATGTCCATTCATAAAGATAAAGATTTTTGTCTTTTCATTAGAGTTTATTCTTTTTGACTAAGGAAACTAAAACAGGATAAGAACTAATTGTCTAAATTACATACATAGTTTGAATATCTTCCTCTAATCAGATTTAGTATAGTCTCAAAAGATAAGTCATCCCCTTTATAGTCAACTTCTATATCATCACAATAGAAGTTAATTTGATGATCTGGATCGAAGTAGATAGCACCTGGAAATGGATTTCAAGCATTGCATGCATGATTTTCAGGGAGCATCAAAATGATCTAGAGTTAAAGTTTATTAAAATGATTAAGGAAACTTGAATTACCTAATCATCGGTGATACCCTTTTCCTTCAAATATCTGTAAATAGCTATGGTATTTCCTGTATGCCTATAGTTGAAGAAGAACTTAGAGCTGGACATAATGAAGTAAAGATTATTTGAGTAAGATAGCTCATTCTCATGGCAAGAATACTAATCTGATAAAATTACGAGAATGCTTATCAAAAGCAGAGTATGTTAAATTTTCATTTTGAATTATTATAATACTATTTATTCTATTTCCCAATAAATTGAATGAACGGGGTTTTGGGGTTTTGGGGTTTTGGGG